GATCCTAACATTTCTACCATATACTGACTTCGTTTTCTTTGAAGACAATTGTGTGCTTCACAGCTGACGTTTAGATGCTCCTAGGAATCTTTTCACTATGTCTTTTTAAAGATGTAAATGCAGAAAATGGTTGGGTAGCAAAACAAAAGGACCAATCAGTCTTTCTCCTTCACTCCTGCAGTAACCCAGATAGTTCTGACTCTTAGTGTGATTCCAGCAAAAGGTTTTTGCATATCTGATAAAAACACTTGATAAGTGAGTTAAAATGCTGTCCATCAGTCCTTGATCAAGCAAGAAACTGTACTTGCATAGCATTTGCATCAGCCTCACTGCTGATCATTATCTTGGCACACTGGCACTGCTTTTATTTATACTTCATATATGTTAAGGAGAGTGACTGATGGATTTCCCCGACTTTCTTCTCTTCACTTTCACCAATGTCTCCTACTGGTGGAAAAGGAGTCTCTAATCACCTGTTTTTATTTGGTAACATATCCTACATAAGACGTAGCACTCAAGACTTTCTCTGTCTCCCACTAAAATCAGCATTAATTGAAGTGCAGCAAAGAAGGTGATAGTATCGCATCACACACCTTCTTTTACTACATGCTCAGAAAGGCATAGAAAGGGAAATCACACATTTGTTGCTCCATGTAGTCAAGCAACTGAATCACTTAAGTGTCTAAAGACATAGAAAAGAACATGAGAAACTGCTTCTTTCTATTAAAATGCTTTCTGATAAAGATTTGATTCTACTTTCAGTGTGGTGGTGGTGAGACTAGAAGTCATCTTCTATTTCAACTCATGAATTTCCATCAATGCTTTCAGTTTTGTTCTAAGGAAAGTTTCAGAAATGTTCTAAGGGGGAAAAATCTGAATAATGTCCAATAAACAGCAATAATATCAGCAGCAAAGGTTGGACCTCTCTGGAATTGCACACATTTAATCTATATATCTATATCTATATCTATATCTATATATCTATATCTATATCTATATCTATATCTATATCTATATCTATATCTATATCTATATCTATATCATCTATATCTATATCTAGATATAGATAGATATAGAT